GTGCAAACAACGTGAATGTTTGCTGGGGCTCGCTGTCATTTGTAGCTAGTTCCTTTTGCGATTTTTTCTCGTCCCACAACTTCCTTTTATTGTACATTTTGCTGTGTTTAATTTTAAATTAAATCTCCCGTTGAAGCCTGAAGAGCGGGATCGAAACCGGTTGATTCGCCCGTTTTTAATATGTCTCGTAATATTAAGTTTTATACTTTTATTTCGATCATTAAATTTTGTACCTACAAAAATATCTTTAAATATATATATATATGTGTGTGTGTGTGTGTGTGCAGGTATATAGAAAAATAGAAAAGAACACGTTAGGTAAATAATCCGGAGTTCTTTAGTATTTTTGTTTTTATTTAAAAAAAACAATAAACAGTGCTCCATACAGAAGTAGAGCTTAAATTATAATTATTTTTTTTAATATGATTGCTTCGCTACATAAGAGTTCTCATGTTTCAAAAACGAGAGCCGAAAACCTCAATATAATTATCAAAATTAAATTGAGTTAAAGTATCAAGCCCTGTTTCATCCTCAAGCGAAAATTTAGGAATAACCAATCTTGAAATTTACGCATCTTTATAAGCATGTTCATTCGCAAAATTAATTACTATGGAAACGGCTGGTGCGACCATTTTGGTAAGGGGTCTAAGAGATAATTTTTATCCACATATCAGTCACCTTCGAAATAAATATGTAATGATAAAAATTATGAAAATAAAATATATTAAAAATGATTGCAATAAATTAAAATAAATTCTAGTAGTAAATGAATCTTAGAACCAATATTAGTAATACTGTTATAATACTTACTGTATACCTACATACATGTATATACACCCATGTACAAATTAATTGAAACAAAACAAATAACCGTCCTGGGTAAGACGATAAACTACATCCGCGTCCTGGGTATGACGATAAACTACATCCACGTTCTGGGTAAGACGATAAACTACATCCGATTCCTGGGTATGACGATAAACTACATCCGCGTGCTGGGTATGACGATAAACCAGATCCGCGTCATAGGTATGACGATAAACTACATCCGCGTCCTGGGTATGACGATAAACCACATCCGCGTCATGGGTATGACGATAAACTACATCCGCGTCCTGGGTATGAGATTAACTACATCCACGTTCTGGGTAAGACGATAAACTACATCCGCGTTCTGGGTAAGACGATAAACTACATCCGCGTTCTGGGTAAGACGATAAACTACATCCGCTTCCTGGGTATGACGATAAACTACATCCGCGTTCTGGGTAAGACGATAAAATATATCCGCTTCCTGGGTACGAGATTAAGTACATCCATGTTCTGGGTAAGACGATAAACGACATCCGCGTCCTGGGTAAGACGATAAACTACATCCGCTTCCTGGGTATGACAATAAACTACATTCGCTTTCTGGGCAAGACGATAATCTACATTCGCGTCCTGGGTATGACGATAAACTACATTCGCGTCCTGGGTAAGACGATAAACTACATCCGCGCCCTGGGTAAGACGAGAAACTTCGTACAAGAGCAAGGTCTCTAACCAGGAGGTTTTGAGGACCGTGGAACCATCTCTTAATTGATGGTGTTGTCAGGTACATCCTGATCCGGGTTGGTAGAACCTCTAGGGTCCCAGCTATGGGTAAATAGTTACCCTCTCAAACTGGGATCAAAACACTATGATAGTGTAAAAATAGGTTTTAATACCAGAAATACTTTGCAAAAATTTATTACCAGCAATACATTTTTGAAAAAAAATACTACCATCAATAAAAATTTTGTCGGCATTAAATAACCCATTGAGATGTTGATATGCCGTAAAACAAAACAAACCATAGCAACTAAAACATATAATTCCGTAATTATTTACATTTTTTCGTATTTTTCCAATGAAACAAAACCCTGTGTACATATTAGTACTTCGTGTATCCATTCCACTACGTCGTTCCTTGCAGATTGACCACAGATTCTCGATTGAATTTAAATCAGGAGCGTTACCATAAGGGACCTCTCCATAGAACAAGTGCTTAGTCAATCTCTGATCCCCCATTCTCCTGAGAAGCCCAACGCAGTTTTTTTAAGCATTTCACCCCAAGCAAGGCGTTACAGAGAGTGCCACTAGCACGCAAGGGGTTACAGAGAGTGAAGGCAAGAGTAAAGAGGATTGTTTGAGGAAAGGAGATAGAGAAGGACGGGGATCAGGATCAAAGTCATCAGAAGTCGATTGACATCACATTTGAATATTTGAAGATTATATTTATCAGGGAAGCAATTAAGAGGAAGTGCGAGAGAAGAAGCTGTTGGAGTAGAAGAGGCGGTTCAATTTAACTGCTTCGACAGTGAAAGGGTGGGACCGAATTGCCAATCTAGCAGTACGCTTAAATTCATGCAGTTGGGGTTGCCAGTGAAATTTGATCGTCAGAGCAGTTGCCATGAAAATATCTGCAGAAAAGACAGTGATGAAAACTGTTGGAATTTTTGGGTACAGTGATGTACTAGTGAGCCAGCCAAAATGAGCTGACTCATTTTATAGTTCACCAATAGAAGGGTTAACCAATCAGAAAGCTCAAAATATTCAATGCGACGTGTATAAAGGCGGCCATGTTTTTTATTTCGAATATTCACTGACAGCCTTTGATATCGAAGACAGTTGCTGGTGGTATTGGCGATATAGTCAGATTTAGTAGAGTGAGTGTTAATCTTTAACGTTGTTTTATTGGACAGATTACGTACTGCGCTGTATTCTATATTCATAGACTATGGTGAACATGGACATCAAAAACAACAAAGATGAGGATATTAATTCATGAAATAAAAATGCATGTCAGACCTTCAAACAATACAAGAATTCAGACTATTAATGGCCGACATGTAGTGCTCAAAATAACAAGGATGAGGATGCAAGTCTGAATAATTCATGGAATATTTCAAAACTTCATTACAGATATTCAGGCATTAAAAGAAGGCTGAACAATGCATTGGTCGAAATGTAAAGATAAAAACAACAAATATGAGAACACTAGTCTCAATAATTACCGGAATAATATGAAAATTTAATTAAAGTCATGCAGACAATGCAAGAAGGCTGGAGAATGCATTGGTCGAAATCTAATGATCAAAACAGCAAAGATGAGGACACTATTCTGAATAATGCATGGAATAATATCAAAACTTCTTTGCAGACAATGCAAGAAGGCTGGAGAATGCACTGGTCGAAATTTAATGATCAAAACAACAAAGATGAGGATTCAGTCTAAACGACTGATGGCAATAAATATTTAATCTTCCAATGTTTTTTTACGTTTCCCAAACCACTGGTTGCTTCATCAAAGTAAGTGCGATAAATATTTTCCAACTTCAAGAGTCTCTAGCCAAGGAAGGACCTAATTAAGATGGTAGTCATCGAACTATCGATTAAATGTCAGTTTGTATTTCTCTTACTTGACCACGTCGGACTTCCTACTGTCTACTGCTGTCCGTTGTTCTCGCCTCAGATCACGCGTTAATCGGCGCCATTAAGCGGTTGTGTGAAACGAGGCCCCAACATGGCTGACGTTGTCATATCAATAAAGCCACAAGTCCAATTATGAAGTGAGGAATAGAACCATTTTGGAAACAGACGATTCAGTCAGCAGAAATTGTCTTTTTTAATTTGGGAAATCAATTATTTTCTTGTAGAGAAAAGGAGTATTTATAGAATGCTTTCGTTTTTCTAGAGTTTCTGCCCCGTAAAAAAAATTATAGCGTACAAGATCGCCATTTGCAATAAAAAGTTACTGAACCTTACGAATGGCAAGATATAATTTTAGAAAAAAAATGTATGATATATATTTTTATTGCATCTTGGAACATGTTTCGGTACCACCGTTCTCTTCATCAGCAAAAGATTTATATTGATCCAGATTCTACCTTCAAACTAGACTGTCGAGTCACTGACACTTCAAGTTATAAAACATTGATTTTAACATTAAAATATCATAAGATATAAAACATTGATTTTAACATTAAAATATAAGAAAATATAAAACATTGATTTTAACATTAAAATATTATAATAAAATAAACAAAACATTGATTCTAACATTAAAATATTATAATAAAATATAAAACATTGATTTTAACATTAAAATATTATAAAATATAAAACATTGATTTCATCGTTAAAATATTATAATAAAATATAAAACATTGATTTCATCATTAAAATATTATAATAAAATATAAAACATTGATTTTAAAATTAAAATATTATAAAATATAAAACATTGATTTTATCATTAAAATATAATAAAATATAAAAATTAATTTTAACATTAAAATATTATAAAATATAAAATATTGATTTCAACATTAAAATATTATAATAAAATATAAGATATTATAAAATATAAAAAATTGATTTTAATATTAAAATATTAAAATAAAATAGAAAACATTGATTTTAACATTAAAATATTATGATAAAATAAAAAAACACTGATTTTAACATTAAAATATTATAAAAAATATAAAACATCGATTTCAACATTAAAATATAATAAATTATGAAAAAAATATTATAATGAAATATTAAAACTAAATTACTGTATAAACAACTAGTACTTCCAAATCTTATTCACTTAAATATTTTTTAAATCACATTAACGTAAAAATATATTTTTAATATGCCAAAAAATATTTTAAAATCATATTCACTTGAAAATATTTTTTTAAATATGGCAAAAAATATATTTTTAAATATTTCAAATATTGTTTGTTAAAAGAAATCTGAAGTATAAATAAACACGCACGGAATCTCAGAGGTCGAGAGAGGAGGTGGAAAGAGAGGGTGGAAATAGAGAGAGAGGAGGTGGAAAATATAGAGAGATATGGGTGGAAATATTTTAAATCAGAGGAGGTGGAAAGAGAGAGAGAGGAGGTTTAAATAGAGAGAAAATAGGTTTAAGAGAAGGATGGAAAGAGAGAGAGAGGTGAAAAAAGAGAGAGCGAGGGGTGGAATTAGAGAGAGAAAGGTGGATAGAGAGAGAGGCGGTGGAAAGAAAGAGGGGTAAAAAGAGAGAGGTTGGAAATAGAGAGAGAAGTGGAAAGGGAGAGAGAGAGGTAGGAAGAGAGATGAAAAGAGAGAGATAGAAAGAGAGAGAGAGAGAGAGGAAAAAAGAGAACGAGGGGTGGAATTAGAGAGAGGTGGATAGAGAGAGAGGAGGTGGAAAGAAAGGAGGGTGAAAAGAGAGAGGTTGGAAATAGAGAGAGGAGGTGGGAAGAGAGAGATGAAAAGAGAGAGGTAGAAAGGGAGAAAGAGGGTGGAATTAGAGAGAGAGGTGGATAGAGAGAGAGAGAGAGGAGGTGGAAAGAGAGAAGGGTGGAAAGAGAGAAGGGTGGAAAGAGAGAGGGTGGAAATAGAGAGAGAAGTGGAAAAGGAGAGGAGGTAGGAAGAGAGAGATGGAAAGAGAGAGAGGGGGGTGAAAAGAGAGAGGGTGGAATTAGAGAGAGAGGTGGATAGAGAGAGAGGGAGAGAGTAGATGGAAAGAGAGAGGGGTGGAAAGAGAGAGAGATAGGTGAAGAAGCGGATATAAATGGAATCATTTATGTCCACAAACCGGATGTTAAATTACTCACCATCTGCGAAGAACACACACCATTTCTTTCTCTCCCACTTCTCACACGATAATAAATTTACATCTTTCTTTCACCCACTTTCTATATATGACCACTGCAAAGACACAAAGTTCACAGAGTTTTATAATAATAAAGATGCCACAGCAGAATACGAGGGTAAGTAAAGAAACAAGGTAAGGTGGGCGCGCGACATCACGCGTGCGCATTGTATGATGGTCAGCTTAGTCGCGCGCATCGTCCAATTGCGTATCAGGATGTAACGAGGTCAGACGTATGGACGTTCCATTCAGCGATTGCACCATTGAAGAACGACGCGCCGTAGTGCACTTTCTGTGAGCAGACGGTGTCAAAACTCGCGGAATGTTAATGCAGTATGGAGCACGCCCCGTGAATCACTGACAGGTGTATGTGTGGGTCTTCTTCATGTGCCGTCACCCCTCAGGAAGTTGGCGATCATGGCTCTCTGCATTTCCCTTTTCTTTTGTAGCTCTTAACAAATAGCCTTTTTGCTATCCAAACCTAGTTCCCTCATCGAATTACTCAAATATATCCGTTCCTGAAAGAATTACTCCCTTCTTAAGCTACCATACATGACTATGGTGCCTATTGGGTGTCGAATAAAGCAAGCTATTCAGCTTCCTGAGTAACCGAAAATATTCTTTTCGGAAGGGATAAATAATTATATTATTAAAAGAAAACTTATACTCACTGTCTTTATTTAGACATTAAATTACGTCGTTTAGCGTCTACCATAATTTACCGAGTCTTCTCAGTTAGCCTGATGAATATTTAAGAGATTTAATTAAGGTTTCGTTTTGATTCTGAATACGTGTTGCAAGATAAAATCCTTACATTTGCCTCGATAACTTTCAATAAATGTCAGTACACACACGCGCCCGAGCGTGCGTGTGTGTATGTGCTTGTTTTTAAATTTATATATTTCAGTCTGTCCATACCGTTCTTTTATATATATATATATATATATATATATATATATATATATATATATATATATATATATATATATATATATATATATATATATATATATCGCTTGTAAACAAGTAGCTAGGCATATAAATGTATTCATGTTTATGTCTGGGTCGCTCCTTCCTTTTTCCTGTCCTTTCTTCCCATTTCTTACCTTCTATTATTCCTTCTTTCTTTCCTTTCTTTTTTCTTTCCATATTTTCTTTCCTCGTTTCATTTTACCTTCGTTTATTCCAACAGATGTTTGCTTTTCGTTCCTTCCTTTCCTTCCTTCATTTCTTTCTTCTTTCCTTTCCTTTCTTCCATCCTTCCTTCATTTGCTTCCTTCCTTTCTTTCCTGCTTTACTTCCTTTCTTTCTTCCTTCCTTATTTCCTTCCTTCTTTCCTTCCTTCTTTCCTCCCTTGCTTTCCTATCCTTCCTTCCTTCCTTCCTTCCTTTTCTTCCCTCCTTTCTTTCCTTTCTTCCTTCCTTACTTCCTTCTTTCTTTCTTTCTTTCTTTCTTTCTTTCATTTCTTCCTTCCTTCCTTGTTTTTCTTTCCTTTCTTTCTTCAATCCTTTCCTTCATTTCTTCCTTCCTTTCCTTTCTTCCTTCTTTCCTTTCCTTCCTTCCTTCCTTCCTTTTCTTCATTCCTTGCTTTCCTTCTTTCTTTCTTTCTTTCTTTCTTTCTTTCTTTCTTTCTTTCTTTCTTTCCTTACTTGTTTTTCTTTCCTTTCTTCCTTCATTCCTTTCTTTCCTTCCTTCCTTGATTCTTTTCCATTCTTTCTTCCTTCATTTTCTTCCTTTCTTCATTCCTTGCTTTCCTTCCTTTCCTTTCCTTTCCTTTCCTCTCCTTTCTTCTTTCCTTCTTTCCTTTCCCTCCTTCATTTCCTTCCTTTCATTCCTTCGTTCCTTCCCTCCTTCCTTTCTTTTCTTCCTTTCTTTACTTTCTTCATTCCTTTATTTCCTTCCTTCCTTCATTTGTTCTTTCCCTCCTTCCTTTCTTTTCTTCCTTCCTTCCTTCTTTTCTTCCTTCCTTCCTTTCTTTTTCTTCCTTTCTTTTCTTCCTACCTTTCTTTTCTTCCTACCTTTCTTTTCTTCCTTCCTTTCCGTTCTTCTTTCCTTCCTTCCTTCCTTCCTTATTTCCTTCCTTCCTTCCTTCCTTTCATTCATTCGTTTCCATTCTTCTTTCTCTCATTTTCTTCCTTCCTTTCTTCCTTCATTCCTTTTCTTCCTTCCTTTCCTTCTTTCATTTCCTTTCTTTCCTTCCTTCATTTCCTTTCTTCTTCATTCCTTTCCTTCCTTTCTAACTTCCTTCCTTTCCTTTCTTTCTTCCTTCCTTTCTTTCCTTTCTTCCTTTACTTTCTTCCTTCGTTTCTTTCCTTCCTTCCTTTCCTTCATTTCTTTCATTTCTTCCATCCTTCCTTTCCTTCCTCCCTTTCCTTCCTTACTCCTTCCTTCCTTCTTTCTGGCCTATATTTTCCATCCCTTAGTTCATTAATTCATTCCTTCGTTCGTTCATTCAATTCTTTTCTATTCCATTCTTTCTCTTAACCCCTGCCTCCCTTGATTTCTCCTGTCAACCTCACTTCTGATATATATATATATATATATATATATATATATATATATATATATATATATATGCGTTTGTATGTGTATGTGTGCGTGCCTTTGTGTTTTCAGTCATTTTCTTATCTGTCTATCTATCAATCAATCTATCTATTTAGTCTATCGTATCTATCTCTCTTTCTTTCTCTCTCTCTATATATATTTGTGTCTGTTCATATCTATCTGTTTGTATCAATCTCTTCATATCTATCTATCTATCTATCTATCTATCTATCTATCTATCTATCTATCTATCTAACCATGTCTTTGTCTTCATTCCGCTTTCTGCCAAAAATTCGCTCTATTGACCAACCCGGAAATGTTTTGATTACCGTCTGCTTTCTTTCAATTTAAATCGCTTCTGACATTAAATCCAGCAAACAACTTTACAATTTTGCTCGCCATTATTTTTTCCTTTTCTTGCATTCTCCCTTTATTCTTGGCTTATTTCTTTCTTCATCCTTCTTTTGCCTACTCTCTTATATCGCTTGTCTTACTCTTTCTTCTATGCCTCCCCATCTGTCTCTCGTTTCATCTTTATGTGTGGGGCGTTGGCGATCATGGCTCTCCACAATTTCCTGTCCTTTGTAGCTCGTAATAATTCTTGTCTTTTTGCTATTTCTCCTAAACCCTGTTCTGCTATCAATTTATTGAAGCTCACTAAATATTCTATGCGATGTTTTCCCCTCTCCCTCTTGCCTTCAGTCTGTTCTGTGAGTATCAGATTCCCCAAGCCTTCTTTTCTCAATATGTCTCTAGGACACTTCAACTGTCTCTTCCTGATGTTAGCTATAAGTGTCCTTTTTGTTTCATTTTCTCTAAAGCTTGTCGTTGCTCATATAGTCGCTCTATGTTATCCTCAGTATCCTTCTGTAGAATCATATTTCTGTTGCTTCAAGTGTCTTCATTCGCTGTCGTATAGGCGGACAGATATCACGTATTCGTTCAGTACTCCTTTTTTGTTTCTAATATTTTCTCTTTCTTAATACTCTGCTTAGCTTTTGGAAGACATCTTTGGCTTTCGAATTTCTGTGTAGTACTTTCCGTCCTCTGTTAAAGAGGTCTTTTTATTTTTTTATTTTTTCTACCGTTTATTTTCACTGTGATTGTACAGTAAAATTCAACGCTCGTTTGATTAAAATAAAATTTATTTCCGTCCTTTTTTTTTTTTAATTTTTCGTTTTCCTTTCTTTCTTTTTTTTGTTTTTGTTTTACATTTCTGGTTTTCAAATCGCCATCTTTCTTTTTCATTGCCTTTTAACAGAGTCTTTTCAGTCAAGTTATACAAACCTTCTCCGAGCTACTAAGTTTGTAAAAGTCGACGAAATAACCTTATTTCAAGAATGGCACAGAATTAGCAATTTATTTATTGCTTTTTGAAAACAAACTGCAACTACACACTTTTCCCTGTAAGGCAAAGAGATTCGCTTGTATGTCGTGCTGTGATACTCCATTAAAAATGAGAATATCCCACAGCTCTAAATATGATTCAATAAATAAATAATATAGAAAAAGCCACGAAAATTGTTTCGCTATGAAAGACAGTTAGAGAAGATGTCATTGAAAGTTATTCAATGCTTCCACACATCTTGTGACAATCTATACACATATGTGCACACACATCTAAATAATATATATATATATATATATGGAAAAACAATGTTTTAAAAGGTATGCTATCTTTGCGGGAGTTCAATGCAAGAGATAGAATGCATGTAAATTCAGACGTTGGAGTAATGAGTAATGAGAGCCGAGTTCGAATTCCAGTCGAATCCATTACATTCACTTACGTGCTAATACCCTTGAGAAAGGTATGAATCCTCTTCTTCTCCCTCCAGCTATGGGTAAATAGCAGGACAGACCAGGTTCTATAGCCGTGAATGGCAATTGGTCTACTGCAAAAAGAAATGGCAACCTACAACGGGAAAAAAATCTGCCTCGTCAGTCATGTATCGAAAAGATGCATGATCGCCTAAGCGTGTATCACGTATGGCACATAACTGATTCAGATATTTACTCCAGACCAACAGGACCGGATTGCTTTTTTAGTGTGTGTATGTGGGGGGGGATTTTAATATATATGATCACAGATTTTTAAACTGAGCGTTTGCTGAGGAACACGTCCTCCTCAAACTGAAAATGCTGGCAACGAATAACAGAATAATAAAACTGATCAATGATTTTGCTAAAAACGTGAAACTTCAAAAACCAAAAAAAAAGCGGAAGTTCTTTATCATGATTGTTGTTGTTTTTTAAATTTTTAACGTCATATTTTAATCTAACATATTTGTGTTTTGATTCACTTATTACATTCAATTACGTACTAATACCCTTGGGAAAGGTATGAATCCTCTTCTTCTCTAGCTATGGGTAAATAGCAGAACAGGCCGGGTTCTGTAGCCTTGGATGGCAACTGGTATACTGCAGAAATAAATGGCAACCTACTACGGGAATAAAAATCTACCTCGTCAGTCATGTATCGAAAGATACATGATCGCCTAAGCGTGTATCATGCATGGCACATGTCCAGTCGAATCCATTACATTCATTTAGCTGCTAATACCCTTGGGAGAGGTATGAATTCTCTTCTTCTCCTCAACCCAAGCTATGGGTAAATAGCAGAACAGACTGGGATCTATAGCCTTGGATGGCAACTGGTCGATCGCAGAAAGAAATGGCAACCTATCGCGGGAAAAAATCAGCCCCGCGTCAGTCATGTATCGAAAGATACATGATCGCCTAAGGGTATATATATATATATATATATATATATATATATGAGTGTGTGTGTGTATGTAAAAAAACCTGAGCTAATCAAAAGTACCTCCAAACGAACCTGTAACGTACAGTCAGGGAAACTGCTTTCAAGTCGAGGACGAGTTTACTGTCTGTCTGTATATTTCAGTCTGTTCATTCTCTCTCTCTCTCTCTCTCTCTCTATATATATATATCTATATCTATATCTATATATATATATATATATATATATATATATATATATATATATATATATATGCCATCTACTTCCGTTTTTTAATATTACGTTATTTCTTTATCAAAGTACAATTATCTCCCTTTGTATAATTCTCTCTCTCTCTCTCTCTCTATATATATATATATATATATATATATATATATATATATATATATATATATATATATATATATATATATATATATATATCGCAGTCTGTTCATATGTAGCGATTTTCTAAGCATAGATTAGATGTAGCACAAGGTCGAAAGCAGGGGGGTACCCAGTGAAGATCGAACTCACTACTCAGTCGTAATTTTTCTAGGCAACAAGCTTGCTAACTATTACACCGCATTGAGGCGCCCCAAGTCTGTTCATATCCATCTATCTCAGTATGTTAATATCTATCTATCTATCTATCTATCTATCTATCTATCTATCTATCTATCTCATTCTGTTCATATATCTATCTATCTATCTCATTCTGTTCATATCTCTATCTATCTATCTATCTATCTATCTATCTCTATCTATCCTATCTATATCTATCTCAGTCTGTTCATATCTATCTATCTATCTATCTATCTATCTATCTATCTATCTATCTATCTATCTATCTCATTCTGTTCATATCTATCTATCTATCTATCTATATATCCTAGTCTGTTCATATCTATCTATCTATCTATCCTAGTCTGTTCATTATCTATCTATCTATCTATCTATCTATCTATCTATCTATCCTAGTCTGTTCATATCTATCTATTTATCTTTCTTTTTTTCTATCTATCTATCTATCTATCTATCTATCTATCTATCTATCTATCTATCTATCTATCTATCGTACTCTGTTCATATCTATGTCTGTATCTATATATAGGTGCGATTGGTAAATTGTCTCCATTTTATATTTTTAATTTCGCTCATGCGCATTGAGTGTTTTTGACTTTGCCAACTGCACAGTTGAGCACTGTCTGTGAGTAAAAAGAGCACCATGACACAATTCCATCCGCTAGAAATTTGGTAACGACATGCTGTACTGCTTAACATTTGCACCGAAACCTTCAATACAAACATTTCAGAGTGTTTGGGTGTCAATCTGAGGACAGTAGAAAGGATTCAGAAACAGTTGGAGTAGTCTAATGGTGATTATGTAGGCACAGCAGCTCAGAAAACTCACTCTGATCGTTCTGTAAAGAAAAGAAGTTCTGAAAATTTTTGGAATGAGATTCAGGCCAAAATTGACAACTTTCCCTCTAAGTCAATTAGGTTCATAGCTAGAGTTTCATTTTCTTATCAGGCAGGTTGCGCATGAAGACATTCGGTGTTGCTCATACAAGATGAGAAAGGGCCAATTTTTATCACAAGCCAAGAACAAGAGGAAAGACCTCGCTACGAAGATTTTGAACAAACTCAAGCATCCCTTCCAACTGAACATGCTTTGTTTTTTCGCAGACGAGAAAAGTTTCTGCCTGGATAAGATGATGAACTCACAGAGCAATCATTGGTTTACCGTCTCGCCAAAAGATGTCCCGAGAGTGATGAAAACTAAATATCCAATCAGCATCATGGTGTTTGGAATGATCACTAGTGAGGGACACTAGTTATGTTTCTATTTATCTTCGCACAGGGCCTCAGACTCGACACGGAGGTCTGCATCAAGTGCCCTGAGGAGGTAGTACTGCCCTGAGTCAAGAGGTTGGCTTCTGGAAGATTCTATGTCTGCATCAAGAGACACCAGTCATGGGCGTCAAACAATTTCTGCGACCACATCACCCCTTACATCTCGCCAACTAACTACCCAGACATTAAAATCCTATATATATATATATATATATATATATATATATATATACAGTAGAGCCCGGCGTTGCCCGGGGATATAACAGTAAGAGATAGATCAAGTATCGACCCTCATAAAGACTGAAAAATAAAATTGACAAAGATTATTATTTAAGGTTGACGGACACACATGTCTTAATTAGTTTTTTTTTTTTACGTATTGGTCAAACCCAAACTCAAACAAAAACATTGTTTTCAATCGTTATGAGTCTACCGATTGAATAGAATTTTATTATAAACAATTGTCTTGTAAATGGAATTTTTAAAGCATTCTGAATGTAAAAATAAAGAAAAGAGTGTGCAAGACAATAAGAAACACTACCTGCCAAAAAAATAAGTGAAGTTTTGTTGAAATCGGTTGAAAAATGTAGAAAATCCGATCCCATATATAAACGAAAACACACACCCACACACACACACACACAACCTGGGTTTTATAATAAGTATAACTCGATATGAGTTGTCCCCCTTTCATTCTCGCGATGCCTCTTAATCGTGTTTTCAAATTGATTTCGTGCAAAAACAATTATGTTTTTCCAATTTTTGGCGCTGTCAGAACCACCGCAAGGTAATTTTACGTAGTCCTGTGAAGTTTTGTTGAAATTGGTTGAAAAAATGTAGGAAATCCGATCCAATATATAAACGTACAGACACACACACACACACACACACACACAACCTGGGTTTTATAATAAGTATGATATGATAAATCCTATATATATAGTGTAATTAAAGTTTTTACTGGACATAAAGTGGGGGACCTGTTTTCTATTTTTATGAAGTAATAAACTGATCCCCCCAGAATTACTACATAATAATTGGAAACAATTAGTTTCTGTTGGACCTAAAGTGGGGGACTGGTTTTATATTATTACTAAGTAATAAACTGATCCCCCAATAATTATACTCGTGTAACGGTTTATGTTTATGTTAAATACAGCTGTACTTTTTTACTACAGTAAATGGATATATAGTTTAAATATAAATTTACAAGTGAACATTGAAGTCAACACTCAGAGGCGACAGGCTATTTCATGCTGGACGCAATCGTCAGGTCTGACGATTGTGTCTAGCATGAAACAACCTCTTGCCTCTGAGTGTTGACTTCAATGTTCACTTGTAAATTTATATTTACATACGCTCTATCTCTGATATTGAGCACTTTATCCCATAAATATAGCACACCTTAAAACTAAATTTCTACATATATATATATATATATATATATATATATATATTCTCATTCACAGACTGTTTCGATGTATCACAGCTCATCAGTGTGGCTAGACGTCCTGTTGCCTCTAGCAAGGATCAATGTTCGCTTGTGTATATATATATATATATATATATATATATATATATATATATATATAGTGTTGATTCAATGTTCACTTTTATATATATATATATATATATATATATATATATATATATACGATGCAATGAGAACGAAAGTTATATATAAAATCGAAGTAATATATAAAAAACATGGAGGAAGGAAAAACACCTAAGGTTAAATGGAAAATCCTAAGACAATTGCAATTCTCTGAACGAACCTTGCCTTTTATGTTTGCAGGAAAAAATATGTATTATTGAACTTTTGAAGAACACCCAATTATTAAACCAAAGATATGAAACCACTGTTTTTTGTAGGCACATTAAAGATCTAACATTACAATATTGCTAAATTCTTAATTCAATAACTCTCAAGGTTTAAAATTATAACTCACATTTTTTTTTATATATTTTCCTACCTCTCCACTTAGATTATGATTCTTAAAATATTTCCCTCGTTTTTTTTTGCATATATATTTCAAGTAATACTTTCAGATAAATTGTTTTACACCCATACTTATTCTACATGTTATACTGTCCGAAAAGAGATCAAAATTAGATTATAAAAGTTATATCATCCCATATCTTTTCTACTTTTATTTAAATTCTAAATCGCTTATATATCCCTAAATTTATATATCCAACATACGAAGAAGAAATCACCACTTCTAAATTTATTAAATTAGGAAACACTTTCATTGATTACAAAATTAGTAGTGATAACTTCAACTTAAATATATGCAATTCAGCTTTAACTTGTTTTTTTTATAGTAAACCAAAAAAAACCCCCCAAAAACAACACAAAATCATTCCCAATTACTCTATAACTATCGTTAGAATTTATCCCTCCTACCTCTTCTATCGTATTACTATCTCCTATTCCTACCCTTCCTCTCCCACTCCTCACTCTTACGACGCTTGTGAGATGGTGTGCCTAAACTTTTGACCGTGGCTATCGGCAAGGAATCTTCCCAGACTAGCCAACATTCAACACCCCACCCATCATTCACCAAACTGCTACAACAAGATATTTTTCCAAACGAATAGAAAAAAAAAAAAGTCATGTTTCACATACGGCTTGCTTACAAGCAGGATTGTTCGTAACCATTTTCGGTTCTAACCAGTCGAGGTGCAACTGAAATGCACCGAAACGAAGTTGCATCTTTGTAGTGAGTAAACTCGTTTCGTCTATAGATAAAATCATAATATTATATATATATATATATATATATATATATATATATAAATTTTTAATTACCTGGCGGTGTTGTTCTCCCCATTTGAGGAAACAGAGGAGCCAGCATAAGAATGGGCATAAATATTGAGTTTAGCCTTAAAATCGCTAAGAGATTCAATAGAGCGAGGGTCAAGTCTACAAACCTGGGCATATAAAACCTCAAACTCCGAAAAAACTTTCTCACGGACAGGCATCGAAATCGAAACACAAAAATCCAAACCATGAGCCAAGATACGAGTCTCTAAGATGAATAATTAAAGATAATTCCTTCTCCAGTAGATTCATCATTGTATCCATAACAGATTATATATATATATATATATATATATATATATATATATATATATATATATATATTGTTGGTGCAAAAATAATGACGTAATAAAGTCGTTTTTTGAGGTTAAAAATACGTCACGAAACGACATTATTACGTCATTATTTTTGCACCAACCTAATATATATATATATATATATATATATATATAATCTGTTTTCATTGATTTTATGTATCTTGTTTGTCATACTCTTTGCAGACTGGCACAGGGCTCGTCCCTGGGCTGGTAAGTATCACTGCTATGACTAGCTTAGACCAGCTCTGACCAGCTTGGACAAGCTATGACCAGCTAAGACCAGGTTTAGACCAGCGGCCCGAGTGGAAACATTCGGGTTCCCCACTTTAAAAACTGACCTTGTGTCACATCCTGACTCAGTGGGGGGTCAAGTAAATATCTACTCTTTGCAGACTGAGGGACGTCAGTTCTCTCTCATAAATAAACCTCGCGCCAAAACTTATCTGCGAAGGCGTGCAGTGCGTTCGTCATTGTGGCCGGTGAAAGCTTGTTGAATAATTCAGTTGCCTCTGAAGTCAGGGCAAAAAGTGAATTATCCCGTCTCAATGGCGGAGTCGAGAAACAGTACATAATTTTCTGTGGTAGTAAGATGAAGGATTGTTTTCAAGTCTCGGAATTTTCGGTGAGTTGGCTGTTGTTTTGGTGAATATTAAAAACGGGCTAGTTTCTTTTTTAAAGTAATCATTTTATATTCATCCAAATAGATAATATAAACAGATACATGCAATTCCATTATGTGAAGCTCTTAATAAATGGGTATATACATTTATTGCACGTAGGTATAATGTAATTTTACAATATAGAATGTAGTTCTTGCTGTGAGTCGCAGTAAAAAAAGGATTTGAATGACACTTAGTAACTGAAACCTATTGTCTTTTTGAATTTTTGAATCAGCACGAAGCATATCGAACGAAGATTAGGCGTACTATTGTTTTAGGCAGTGTAACCAATTTTTTTTAAGCGTTTTAACCCAAGCAAGGCGGGAAGCCACTAGCACGCAAGGGGGTTACAGAGAGTTGGATCGAGAGAAAATAGAAGTGATAGAGGAAAGGATGAAGAGAAGGATAGGGGATAGATCAAGGCATC